CTGTAGTTTACTGATTAATAAAGAGTGGTTTACTCTATCAAAGGCTTTTTCAAAATCTGTATAAACAACATCTGTTTGTTGATTATTAGAAAAAGATTTAATTATATGATGTTTAATAGTTATTAAATTGGTAAGACATGACTTTTTATTGCGAAATCCATGTTGTTGTGGTGCTAAAATATGTTTAAATATGGGTGTGAGCTTATTATTTATTATTTTAGAAAATATTTTAGGGAGAATAGAAATTATCGATATAGGACGGTAGTTTGAGATAAATGATTTATTACCTTTTTTAAGAATTGGATTAATATAGGTGGATTTCCAAGATGATGGAAATGAGCCACTATTTAAACAAAAATTAAAGAGATATGTGATAGGTGGAGAAAGTATAAATCTGCAGTTAAATAAAAATATAGGAGAGAGACTATCAGGACCAATTGCATTTTTGTAAGATAGAATATTTAATTCATTGAAAACTTCTAGGAGTTCGACGTGAAGTGAGTTTAACGAATCAATTGATTGAACTATATTAGATTGAAAATTAATATTAGTAGGAGCTGTCACTTTATAAACCGAAGAGAAGTATTGACTAAATAAGTTAACAATTTCTTGACCATTATCAGCTGATTTATGGTTGAATGACATTGTGTTAGGAAGACCAGATGATTTTTTAATATTTTCAATAAAAGACCAAAATTTCTTAGGCTGGGTTCTAAAAGATTTTTGAATATTAATTAAGTATTGGGAGTAATCAAATCTACTTAAGGATTTGCATTGAGCACGTGTGGAAGAGAATTGTTGGTAATCATCATGTGAGTTAGATAACTTAAATATTGAATGTTGGAATTTTTTTAATTTGATTAGATTTATTAAGTCTTTAGAGAACCAACAGGGGAATTTAGATTTGCAGTATCTTTTTTTAGAAATAAAAGTGTCTATTGCATATAATAGGAGGGAATAAAATTCTTTGGTGATGGTTGTAATATCATTAGTAATATTGAAAAATTCGTTCCAGTTTATTGAACCAAGGAAAGATAAAATATTAATATAATCTCCCTTATACCAGTCATAGGTTTCTTCAGAAAAAGATAGCGGAGAGAGAGTGTAGAGCTGAGAGAAGCTGACATTAATAGGAGGGTGATAATTATTTACTGGAACTATAGAATCCATATTTAAAGATATAGAATGAGAATTACAATTGGATAATATAAGATCCAGTATTGAACCATAACTATTGAAGATTGTATTTATTTGAAAAAGATTAAGAAATGATAGATTTTCTAAAAAAAATAGCTTCAGGANTATAATCTCCCTTATACCAGTCATAGGTTTCTTCAGAAAAAAATTGCGGAGAGAGAGTGTCGAACTGAGAGTAGCTGACATTAATAGGAGGGTGATAATTATCTACTGGAACTATAGAGAACTAATGAGAATTAGAATTGGATAATATAAGATCCAGTATTGAACCATAACTATTGAAGATTGTATTTATTTGAAAGAGATTAAGAAATGATAGGTTTTCTAAAAAAATAGGTTCAGGAGAGAATAGATTTAAGTTAGCATTTAATGATGCTTTATTTAAATTTGGCAAATTAAAATCACCGAAAAGTAGAAGATCATCATTTGGGCGAGAAGAAATTAGGTTATCTAAAATAGAGAAATATTCATTATACAAAGAAGGAGAATTTGGCGGAAAGTAGATACAACCCATAAATAAATTTTTGGTGTTACTAATTTTTACAGAGACAAAGCATAATTCTAGCGATTTTACATCAACATCAATTTGTGAGGAGATAATTTTTTATTCACTGCTATTAAGACTGCTATTAATATATTGAAACAATTTATATAGACTACTAGGTTTGCTCCACATAATTTTTTACTAAAATATTTATCGTCAAAATTTGATATTAAAATTCTTATTAAAAAAAAAAATCCTCCATTCAATTCAATTTTTTGTTTAATCTAACAATTTGATCTACAGAGTACCTATATACTAATTATAAATTTTTCACGAAATTATAATGTCTATAAATGGCTCAAATATTACTCAAAGAGACTTTTAGAAAAGACAAATATAAGTATTATTTCAAAATTTTAAGTCTTACAAATATTTTTTAACTATATTACAACTAAAAACAAAATTGAAAATATAGAAACCACTTTTTTGATTAACTTTCTCATTCTTTTTCCTAATTATTTAAAAATTTGCTTGGGAAATCAAAAAATGACCTCACCAATATGTCAACTAGATCTAATTCAACAATAAAGGTCTCTTATTTTTGATTGGAGGAAAATTTTTAGCAGTAATGTTCACACATATACACACATACACAACATCAATACCATTAATCTCTCATTACATTCAGAATTCAAAACCATGAATAAAATTATTATGACAATATATAACATAGGCTATAAAACATAGTAACTCAATTTAAATATAATTACCAACTGTAAGATATGTATTGGTTATAATTCTATAAACTATTACTGAATAACTACCTCCCCAAAAATTGAAACAAAAAGTAATTGCATCAATAGAAGGTGCAATGTGTTATACAACTTGCCAATACTCATTTTTATATTGTAAATTATAAGTATTTTAAATGTCATGACATTATATATATACCCATAAAAACAACATATTTTTATTGTGCAATTCTGATTGCTCCATCACACAATGATTTTGTTTTAAACTTTTTTTATGTACTATTCAAAATAAAAGAGTGAATTATTTAAAATATTTTTATTATTTAATATATTAAAACACACATTAAGATAAAAAAAATGTACACAAGTATTAAACTGTATTTGTTCAAATTTGTTTTGTATAATTTCAAGACACATAAATAACACTCAAATGTATTATTCTAGAATAAATAGACACTACTCAAATTTCAAAAATAATATTTGGCAATAAAAAAAAAAAAATATTTTATTATATTATATTTTATATTTGAATGGATAGTTTTCAAACTTTTTGGTAATCCAAATTTAATGTTTTGATACTTATAAAGTTTAAAAGTTGTATGAGTATACAAAACTAAAATTTCTTTAAAAACATATAGAATTATATTTGGTAATGCAGTAATTTTTCTTTTATAATTATCCATTTATCTTTTATTAAATTAAAACATAATGTCAATTCTTTGTTATATTTCTATTTAATAATATAATTAGAAAATAAAAAATATGTATAATATACTAATATACTATATATTAATATACTTTCCAAAAGAATATTTATGACAAAACATTTTTTCAAAGAACAAAATTATGACAAAATATATTCATAACTAAACAAAAAAAAAAATTATCTTACCTTTTAAGTATCTATATCTTAATTTAATGTATTAAATTTTACAATGCAATAATAAATACATCTTTTAACTATATTACCTATTATAGTATTGTTTACAAAATGAACAGAAAAAACTCAATGAAATAAAAATGTATATAATGATTAACAATATTGATTGACTTTTAAATATTCATGAAGTCAATTATTTAATCAGGTTATAGATTCCGGTTTCAAAAAAATTGTTTAAAACTGCAATTTTTCAAAAGCATGATTTAAAAATTATAAAAAAAAACTTATTAATAATTTAGGTTTTGGATTTTAAAGATTGCAGTTTAATTTACAAACATGATTATAAATCAGTTTTTTAAAATCTGGTTTCGAACATGATAAAAAAAACATTAGCAGTTATAAGCAGTTATTTTACAAAGTAATCAACATTATAGCTTAAATTATTAATAATCTAAATTAACACAGACTTCTTGCACCACGAAGTATGTGTCCTTGAATTTTAATTTAAAACATTTTAGTGAAATATTTAATTTGTATACTTCTAGTAAATAAGAGAAACATGAATAATACATTTAACTATAATTTTATTTAAAGATCATTAAAGTGTTCTGATAAATACATTTGATCATGTTCTGAGCAGTGTATCTTAATTACTTTACACTTAGTGTTTACCATCATTGAATTTAACCAGTATTGTAGGAATGATACTGTCAATATTTGAACATCAACTGCCTTGTCTTTATGAGTTACACGGTGTCTTAAGTCTAAAGGGTCTGGTTGTAGTATTTTTGACCTTAAAATTGGGATACAGTCTTCACATTTTCTTGTTTCTCCACCCATAATGTAGCCAAGATTATGATGATTTTTTACCTTATGAACATTGTATAAATTACCTATCTGAAGGACACCATGTGTTATTCCCAAAACTACATGTTTTAATGTTTTGGAGAGTTTTTCCAAGCAATGAAGTAGGTGACAATTGTTATTTGCTAACTAAAAGAATACATAATTTTAGTAGGATTCAATAGGTGTGTTAAATATTGCAATAGTATAATACTTACTTCTAGGAGGTAAATGGCAGGAATTATCAATAGACCTGTTATACCATCACATTGTTCTAATTGTTCTTTCACACATTGATTAAATACAATGTTAACTAGTTCTAAGTTCTTCAACTTTTTTAGAGATCTAATGGCAGAAAAATATTCCATTGCAAATTTATCCCACCTACCATGGCAATTTATTAATCTTAAGGATCTTAAATTGATTAATTTTTTTAAATACATAGGAAAATCATCAGGTAAGCATTTACAGTCTCCTATTTCTAAAACTTCCAAGTCAATTGAAATTTTTTCCAAAATCTTGCAAAAATGTGCAGGCATTAATTCAATGGAGGAAATAAATGTTAATGACTAAAAAAAAAAAATAATAATAATAATATAGTAAAATTAAAAACATAAAAAATATTATAAACAAATATTGAAATAAATAAATTGTATACAAGTATAATTAGTTAGATAATCATATTATACGTTTATATATTTTTAATGGTGGGGTTGCCATAATCCTGGAAAACTGGAACTATCACTGGTTTTTGAATTGATGTACTGGTGTCCTGAAAATAAATGTTGGTATGCCACCATGTCCCAGTGTTGAAAAAAAATAAATAGTATTTAATTTTCAACATTTTTTAGAACAATAACTTTAATCAAAAGGTATAGATAATATTTTTAACAA